TTTTCTAACCGTGGCTTTCAAGAACGCGGTGAAACGTATCCATGTCATTCTGAACTGTCCTTATTCTTCCACATCAATTGTCATCATCTCTAAATGATGTCTAGCAAAAATCAGCTCTGTGTACATTTTACATATTCACATACCTACTTCTGTTCTCAGTCGTATGCCATCAATCTGGCTTCCCATATACACTTCTATTTATCTCTCACACTAAGAGAGATTGCAGGCAGGACTCCACTGTTTTTACACAGAAGCATACAGTAAGAAAGCAAACAACAACTCAGTATTGTCCAATTTATGCTTTTTCTCTATTTCTTTCTTGACAGAAAACTTGAAATTCAAAATTTGAAACGTACCCAAGTAGTAGCAATGAGCTGCAGAGAACACTTAACAAAATCCACTCCAAATGTCAGGCCATTCTTCCTCTGCCTCTTCCCTCATTCGGTAGTGCTAGAGTTTTTTGTTCTTACTGTTCTCTATTTTACTGTACTAGTGATTTCACAGCCTAACACACACAAATACCTAATTGTAGGCCGGCTATTAAAACATCTAACATTAACTATTGCTTGCTTCCATAACTGCTAGCGCGCCAGATCTTTCATCTGAAGTTTCCACATCACCAATAACTAGATGAAATGTGTTTCAGTTGAACTGTTGGGCAGTTCATGTAGAGAATCACAGATCCACCAAAATCACAGGGGTTGGAAGGCACCTCTGGAGATCATGTAGACCAAACCCCGCACTATAAGCAGGCTCACTAACGTAGGTTGCACAGGAAAGCACCCAGGTGTGTTCGGAGTATCTTTGCACAGTGATGTCTAGGCCGTAACAGCATGTTTTGTCTCAGCACCACTTGCATTTCCCTCTCAGTATTATCTTAGCCCAGAGAATGCCTTCCTTTTTTCTGTCCTTCATCTGACAACTCCCCGTCACCTGGGCAGACTACGGTACAGACTGCTTGCTTCCTCCTACAGTGTGCACATACACAGTATGCACACCTTTAGGCATGCTGCTCTCCCCATGAGTGCTGGGGTAAAGTAGGAAAAGAAAGACCTTTCTTACAAAAACACACACACTACGGTTGACACTACTCCATCTCATGAAGAACAAAGGAAAACACACATAGCAACTTTTGACTCAGGAAAGGGCACAGAAGACAAGCAGTAATTATCCTTGATTAATTAGCCAACAGGGGCAGAAAAAAACTACTCCATGAAACAACAATATGTTACAGCTCCTCATTAGAAAGCATTCTTGACTTTGAATCCAAGTTTCAGGACAGTAGAAGGGCACATGTCGCTAGGGCTTCAGGACTTCCTCAGACACTACATAAGAAGTATCCATGCACAGGGGCACACAAGAAACTGAACATATTTGCACTGGAACAGGTTGCCCAACGAGGCTGTGGATGCCCCATCCCTGGAGGCACTCGAGGCCACACTGGATGTGGCTCTGGACAGCTTGGTCCGGTGGTTGGCGACCTGCACACAGCAGGGGGGCTGAAACTAGACGACCACTACGGTCCTGTTCAACCCAGGCCATTCTATGATTCTATGAAACACTAACAGGTGAAAGAATTCAAAAGGTTCCTACCAAAACTATGCCATACGACGTCAACTGATGTCATTATAAAATTCTCTGTCTTTTATGGTTGATGGTTTGGGTTCTCTGTTGTCTCTATGGTTTTAGGGGTTATAGGAGTGTTACAAGAAACGAGGAGCTGGACTACATGAACTTCCAGGCTTCTGCTGTGATGCCTCACAAATACAAGGCTGCAAAACTAGAGCTTTGGTGCACGCATGCACATGGCATGCACTTGTTTGGGTCACGTGATCAGAGGAACTGAAGCCACACAGGAAGCCCGTGTCTATTTGGAGAGCCAGGAAGCAAGTCAGTCAAGATTCCAGGCTCTGAATCAAATTTAAGCCTCTCTAGATGATAGCCTTTTCAGGGCAACTCAACTACACAAGAAGCAGTGGCAAAAGGCAACTATCTCAGTCTATATGAATCAAGCAACAAGATTGTTCATTGGCATGCACCTACTTTTAGCACACCTTATGATCTAGGATCAATCTAGCACTAATCAAGCAAAACTTACTTTCATGTTCTTCATGCACAGCTAAGTGCACACCATCCACACGGGACTGGATACCATTCCACGTGATAAACTCATTTTCTTCTGCACGCATCTGAGCTTTCAGCTTCATCACATCATCCACACATCTGTCAAAGAACAAAAATCAAAACCAGCAAGTATCACGTCATGAAAAACTGGCCAGGGAACACACAAGACAGCAATGAGAACTAAACACAAAATGGAAGAAGTAACACAAGGGTTAAAACTGACATACACGAAAGAAAGAAGGAATAGGAAAAAGACAAAAGACCGTGAGCAAGGTGTTCAGCTCCAGTGCAAAGCAATCAAGAAAAGCACTGAAACACCACATGACACTTTCAGACAAAAAACACAGGGCAGGAGCTGGCCTGGTGCAATTGAGAACCTCGTAGGGCCACAACATAGCTTTGTTGTGAAACCTTGATAAAGGCACTCTTCTTGACGGCACTCAGAACAGATTAGTAAGAAATGGGGAAGGCAAAGACAAGGTGCAAGAACCGAGAGAGAATAAATTAATATTGGAGTAAGGAGGGAAAGAACCTGAAGTATAAGGGGAAGAAAAGAAAACCGAACCTCTTGGGAATGTAAGCAATATCAAAGACGGACAGGAACCTTCAAAACACTCACCTCTGACAGTTCTCATCCTCAGTGTTTGTCAGCCCTGGGACAGCATTGCTCAGTTGTCTCCATACTGCACTCACATCCCCTGATGCCAAAGCCCTGATCATCACAGCCACTAAGCATCAAGGCAGTTCTACCAACACTCAAGACAGGCACATTTAGTGGAACAGACAAGGCAGATTTGGTGATCCATATCAATTCACAGACATCAGAAGGCATTACTGACATCATGGCTTTGTGGCCATGCTCCTTGTGATAAAGATCAGCAGCAAATGCATAAACCTCTGCTAGCTGGGCCTCTGGCTTCATCATTTCTGCCACAGTCTTCTCTGCATCACCCATTCTAATTGCTGCATTAGTTCTGGACACTGCTGCCAGCCCTAGCAGTTTGAAGAGGCAGCACATCAAAGAGGCAGCATGACAACAACGGCGGCAGACAGTTGGGCTCCCAGTCATGCAAGCACTTGTACTGCATTCAATAGTAAGAACCTAACCTAAAAAAAACAACCTCATTCCCTTATAGGTTTTCCAATCAGTTATTTGCCCAACTAGTCCTGCATTACTGTAAACAACCTGACTACACAAGGCCCTCTTTAAAGTAAGACTCATCTTTAAACCAGTTTACCTGTTGTCTGATTATTATCAGAGGACTGTCTCAACAACTTCTGCCAAGAAGAAGCCCCAAAACTCTCCATGTTTTCCATCGGTAGTTCATCACAACTTTTCCTTCCAGTATCTATGACTGGTCGGGGCAGTACCAGGCATTCTACAGTGTTCTCTACACCCTACAGTGCTTGCACTTGAACACAGCACCAATGGGAAAATAAACATCAAGCAGCACGGAGAACCAGGAAAGCACTTTGAAGGTAACCTCCTAGTTACTACACCTGCACCATCTCCCTCTTGTCATTTCAACCACCTGTAACCAGATCCCTATCAGCTTTCTTTTGATGTGTTATAAATTGATCTAATGGCTACTCTACAGCCAGAATTAAACACTGAAAGCTTCTGGGCAGCAGCCAGCCCAGTTCTCAGCACAGCTTTACCAACCACAGAAATCCAGTTGATGCCCGCCGTGCTTTTCTCTCTTCTGAAACACTGCATCGCTGCAAGAAGCAAGGATTAAAATCACAGAACCACAGAATTGGGGTTGCAGCGGACCCCCAGTGATCATTGAGTCCAAGCTCCCTGCAAAACAGGCTCCCTACAGCAGGCTGCGCAGGTGGGCGTCCAGGAGGGTCTGGAATATCTCCAGACAAGGAGAAGCCACAGCCTCCCTGGGCAGCCTGTTCCAGCGCTCCATCATCCTTGCTGTGAAGAAGATCCTTTGCATTTTGGTGCAGAACTTCCTGTGCTCCAGTTTGTGGCCATTTCCCCTTCTCCTGTCCCCACAGATCGATGACAAGAGGTTGGCCGTGTCCTTTGGACTCCCACACTTAACAAATACATAAGCATTAATCAGATCTTCTCTCAGTCATCTTTCCTCAAGGCTGAACAGACCCAGGTCCCCCAGCCTTTCCAATACTGAGGAGATGCTCCAAGCCCTTTATCATCTTCCTGGCCTTCTGTTGGACTCTCTCCAGGAGATCCTTGTCATTTCTGTACCATGAAGGGAGCCCAGAACTGGATACAGTACTGCAGGTGAGGCCTGACCAGGGCAAAGCAGAGTGGGAAAATCACCTCCCTTGCTCAGCTGGCCGTGCTCCTTTTAAAGCACCCAGGATCCCATTGGTCTTCTTGGCCAGCAGGGCACACTGCTGGCTCATGGCCGACCTGTTGTCCACCAACACCCCCAGGTCCTTCTCTGCAGAGCTCCTCTCCAGTGGGTCATGTCCCAGCCTGTACTGATATTTGCAGCCATTCCTTCCCAGGTGCAAGGCTCAACACTTGCTTTTGTTCCACCTCATCTGGTTTGTTTCTGCCCAGCTCCCCACCCTGAATGGCAGCACAGGCTTTTGGTGTGCCAACCAAGAGTGAGCACGTTTGTTCTGCCCTGTGCTGGGCTCTCTCTCTCCACCCTGCACATTTGCCTTATTTTGTGCCTGGCTCGATTCAGAACACCCCAAATCTTTATCTTTTGACTCTGCTCAGCAACTTTCTTAGTGGAAGGCAAACAGGTCTTCCACAAGAGGGCTGTAAGTTCAGTAAAGGCCAGTACTACATACAGAAAATACTCAAAGCTTCTACAGCACAAACACAATCTCCCCTTCACAACCAGACCCAGCACCAACCCCCAGGAGCACCGCCGCTCACAGCTCTCCAGCCGCCGATCACCACCACTGAGCTCAGCCAGTAAACCTGTTCTCAGCCCACCTCATCATCCACTCATCTATCCCACACTTTCTAAGCTTCTTTACCAGGATGTCACAGAAGACTGTAACAAAACATTGCTGAAGGCAAGGTAGACGACACCCACTGCAGTACCTGAAATGGTCCATTCCATCCCACTCGGGCTGAAGCTTTGACTCCTTCCAGGCGCATATTAGGACCAGCCTCCTACACGGGATGAGTGCACTGGAAATTCCAGAGGTGGAGTTTGAGCCAACAGCCCACATTCCTTAAGGAATAACAGAGCAGCAGACAACCCGAGTACACAGTTCTGGAGAAACTTACCCTTGGTTTCAAGAGCGGGCATCTCACCATTCCCAAGTACAGCAACCCAAACAGCACTTCGTGTGGTGATACTCCTAAGCCTTTTCTGTGAGTGGTTCGTGTTCTGACAAGGGCTACAGGCAAACACTTTGCCCATGGTAATTTGGTCTCTGAAACCAATTCTGACAAGTGCTTTTTCAGCATCTGATTGATTCATTCTACATTCCCTGAAGAAGGAGGGTGCCACGGAGTATGGAGCTCCCACTTTATTTCTGAAGTTCTCATCAGCTCCTGTAGGACCTGTGAAGTAAAGAGGCTTCCCTTATCTGAGTCCATATTCTGCACAATCCCACATCTAGAGATTTTGTCAGGATGTAGAGTCCTCAGTGCAGAAGAGACATGGACCTGTTGGATCACATCAGAGGATGGCCACAAAAAAAAAAAAAAAAAAAAAAAAAAAAAAAAAAAAAAAAAAAAAAAAAAAAAACACAGAACCAAGGGATCAAACAGCTCTCCTCCAAGGTCAGGCTGAGAGAGCTGGGGCTGTTCAGCACAGAGAAGTGAAGGCTCCAAGGCGACCTGGTAACAGCCTTTCCATACCTAAAGGGAGCTAAAGGAAAGAAGAAGGGAAAACTTAGTTTAGATGTAAGGAAAATGTCTTTTTACAGCAAGGGACAAAGGGAAATGGTTTTAAGTTGAGGGAGGGGAGGTTGAGGTTGGAAGTCCAGGCGAAGTTCTTTACTGTGAGAGCAGTGAGGTGCTGGAACAGCTGCCCAGAGAGGCTGTGATGCCCCGTCCACCCCTGGAGCTGTTCAAGGCCAGGTTGGATGGGGCCCTGGGCAGCCTGGGCTGCTGTGAAATGGGGAGGTTTGTGGCCCTGCGTTGGTGGGGGGCTGGAGACTTGTCAGCCTCGAGGTCCCTTCCAACCCAGGACATTCTGTGATTCTGGGCAGTGGAACAGGCTGCACAGAGAGGCGGTGGATGCCCTGTCCCTTCCAAGGTGAGGCAGGATCAGGCCCTGGGCAGCCCGATCGAGCTGTGGATGTCCCTGTTCCTTGTGGGGAGTCGCACTAGATCATCACAAACAGTCCCTTCCAACTCTAAGGAATCTATGGCATGATACCTGAAGCAGTGAGGCATGACGACACAAAGAACATCGATGGCCTGGTGAGCAATCAGGGCAGGCGGGGAAGCCTGCGTGCTCAACAGCACCAGGGAAACTCACAAGCAGTCCAACCAGGAAGATCCACGTCGGCCACAGAGCCTCTCTGTGCCGGCCCCAGCATTCAGCACACCAGAGGTATTGCTGCATCGCACTGCGGGGTGCCACGGCTGCAGGGCTTCTATGGAACGGGGGGCAAGGATGGAAGGAAGAGGGCTGGGGAGGTTGGGTGGCATCCAGACTGGGAAACTGACAGCATCCCCTGATGGCCGGGATGGAGATATCTGCGGTGATCCAGACACAGCGCTCCAGCAGAGGACGGCCCTTTGTTTCCTATCAATACAAAGCCACATCTGCCAGCACGACAGAAAGAGCCCTGAGAGCCTGGGGGGGTCGGCCACAAGGCGCTCGCAGAGCCGAGCCCTGACACCTGTTGCTGCCGACCAATTCCTAAGGGAGATCTGGGAGAGAACCAGGCCAACCAGGAACTGAATCCTTGTGCTCAGTATTCTCGAGCAGCGCAGAGCGGACGGCGCTGGGTGAGGATGAAGCAAACGACCGCTGGGGCCCGGGGGTTTCCTGCAGCTCAGCTCCCAGCCGCAACCACGCACCTTGCTCTATCGCCAGCCACGGAGCTCATGGGGCTGCAAGGACAAAGGGCAGGGAGCAGGGCGAGCCCTGGGGACCAACCCTCATTGCCTCTCCAAGGGAGCTGCCCATAGCCGGCCCAAAAACCACCTGCATACAAGCAACGCATGAACAAGGGGTTCCTGCCGTTCCAGCGTCCGCCCCACAGATTGCACAGCGCTGCAACCACTAACCAGAGGAGCCCCAGAAACCCTTCGACCTCATTGAGCCGCAAAACAGAAGGAGATCCAACGAGACGTGGAAAGGAATTGAAATGCATGCCCTCAAACAACACTCAGCACAGGTGGAATGAATGCGTGGCACAGGAGACGCAGGGGGGACACGGGCAGAGGACGCAGGGAGGACACGAGGACACAGAGGGAACGTGTCATAAAATGGGCTGCGGCAACGTGGGAGCAGACGGAGTGAGTTTGGAGGCCCAAGTTGGAGATCCCACAATGAGAATCACGAAAGAGGGAACAGAGACGTCACAAGAAGGTGTTGAGCTTAGAAAGAGTTGCAGAGGAACTCTGCAGAACACAGAACCTCTTTACAGAACAGTGCATCAGCTCCAGGCATTTCTGGAGTCGCAACGCTCAGTCACCCAACCAGCGTCACCTTGGGGCTGACTGAAACATTCCCAAAACAGATGAGAGCAAAAGAAAGGAACGTCCATCAGTCCCTCCGTTACCAGTTCAGAGAAAGGCAGAGAACCCCTTGACTGCCCTCAGAGAGCAAGTGGAAGGCATCAGAAGCAGAGGCAGAGCTGACAGAGCTACCGTAAACCAGCTTACAATCCCCACAGAAAGGCAGAGACCAAAACCCCAACAGCCATCAAGAAAGAATCGCTGACCTCTTCCCACGAACCAGAGCTCACCCAGCAATCCACAGGAGGCATCTCCAGGAAGAAACCCTGCCTGTGGGGCTGCCAGCCCTTCAATGAGGCGAGGGAGGGGTGGAGCCAGGCTCAGCCCCATCTGCCCCATGGCTACATTGCTTCCACCTGTGCAGGCAGGGCTGCACCCCTCACCAGGTGCTCCATCACTGCTTCAGGCTGTGATCTCAAAGTTCCCCTAAAAGCAGGAAGGAAAAAATGAAATAAAAAAAAAAAGTAATGACCGGCGGCCAATTGGGTCTGCCTGTCTGGCAAGGGGAGGTTTATCCATGGACGAGCTAGTACTTTGAGTAGAGTACTTTGCTTCCAGCCTGTCCTCCATGGCAATTGGTGACATTTGTAATAAATAGGGGAGCACAGATTTCAGTGCTGATACAGCGAGGTGCTGAGAAGCTGCACATGCAGCACAAGGGCTGAGATGAGCGGCATCAATGGAGCGAGTGCTGGCTGCCCAGCTGCCAGGCTCAGCTTACGGCTCCCCAGGGAGAAACGCACGTCATCTCCTCACACAGCAATTAAAGGCCGCTGTGACATCATTGGAGGGTTTGGTGTCCTCAGGGGGTGACCCTGGCACCTGCCTGTATGGCAGCGTGTGGCCTTTTGGCTCCAACAGCAATCCAAACCCCACAGAAACAGGGAGGGACCCAGAAAGCCCCTCAGTGACCTGGGAGCCACAAGAGCCCCACAGGTGGCACCGCAGAGACCCACAAATGACCCACAGCAGCCTGTGACCCACAAGTGACCCACAGGGACCCACAAGTGCCTCGCAAGGGACAAACAACTGAACCACAAGTGCCCCATAAGTCCCCCATAATTGACCCATCAGCGTCTCATAAGTGCCCCACAAGTGTCCTGTCACCAACAAGTGCCCCCCCAGTGCCCCACAAGTGACTCACAAGTGGCACAGCATGGACCCACAAGTGAGACACACGGCCCCAGAAGTGCCCCACAGCAGCCTGGGACCGTTAACTGGCAAAGGGACCAGGAATTGACCCATAAGTACCCCCACAAGTGGGGCAGCAGGGACCCACAAATGACTGATAGCAGCCTGGGCCCCAAAAGTGACACATCAGCGCCCCACAAGCGACGCATAAGTGACCCACAGGTCCCACATCTGCTCCCACGGCTGCCTTGCTTCCACCTGTGCTCACAGGGCTGCACCCTTCACAAGCTGCTCCAGCACTGCTTCACATGCACTCCCCATACAACTCTCCCACCACCCCATTTTGGGGGCACCGACCCCCACCCCGCTGTCACAGCCGTGCGCCGAGGGCACCATCACCCCACCGCGCACGGCCATCAGCTCCTCCCAGCACTCCACGCGCCCCACGGGCAGCCCCCAATGCGCGGAACTGCCGCCGCCTACCACCGAATCCCGGCATCGATGCGGCAGGAAAGTTCTTGCCGTGGTCTCTGCTGCCACCGCGTGGCCAACGCGCGGAACTGCCGCTGCCTGCCGCCGAGTCCCGCCCGCGGCAAAACACATGCGCCCAGAAATGCGGAAGTGCCGATCTAACCGCTCTGCGCAGCTCATCCGCCGCTCTCTATGGTGATTAGTCCTCCGGCTAACAGCGAATATACGCCCGTCACCTTCAAAACAGCAGCTGTCTCGAAAAACCACTACGGCTACGGGCAAGCAGCCGATTCCGGGCCGCCGGCTCAGCGATAGATTCTCCCCCGCTAGCCCGGGGTGCCCCTCGTCTATTTCCGCCGTTTGATGCCCGAGCCCACCCGGGAACGGAAACGGACCGGTTCGGCTCACAGCTGCCCCTCAGCGCCTCGTGGCATCCAACTCGCTCGCCTCCCGGTGAACCAGCAAACGTCCCCTTCCAACCCTAGCCCTGCACCGTCCCCCAGCCGTTTAAAAGCCCCCGCAGCAGCAGTGCAACGCTGCTCGGAGCGACTCGGAGCGGCTCGGAACTTCTCCGAGGGGCTCGGAGCTGCTCGGGGGGGCTCGGAGCTCATCGGAGCGGCTTGCAGCTCCTCGGAGGGGCTCGGAGCGGCTCGGTGGGGCTCGGAGCTGTTCGGAAGGACTCGGAGCGGCTCGGAGCGGCTCGGAAGGACTCGGAGCGAGCGGCTCGGAGCTGCTCGGAAAGACTCGGAGCGGCTCGGAACGGCACGAAAGCGGCTCAGAGCTGCACGGAAGCAGTTCGGAACGACTTGGAGGGGCTCGGAGCTGCTTGGAAGGACTCGGAGCCGCACGAAAGCAGCGCGGAGCTTCTCCGAGGTTCTCGGAACGACTCGCAGCGACTCGGAGGGACTCGGAGCGGCGCGAAAGCGGCTCAGAGCGGCTCGGAGCTTTTCCGAGGGGCTCGGAACGACTCGCAGCAGCTCAGAGCTACTCGGAAGGACTCGGAGCAGCTCGGAAGGACTCGGAGCCGCTCGGAGCGGCGCGAAAGCTGCTCGGAGCTTCTCCGAGAGGCTCGGAGCGGCTCGGAGGGGCTCGGAGCTGCTTGGAGCAATTCGCGGCGGCTCGGAGCTGCTCGGAAGGGCTCGGAGAGACTCGGAGTGGCTTGGAGTTGCTCGGAGGGGCTCGGAGCGACTCGCAGAGGCTCAGAGATTCTCGATCGCGTTACCGGTGTGCAGCAGCACCGATACGAGCATGTCTCGAGAAAGCAATACATCTGAGCAAATCCGGGCTCTGTAACGCGCTATATATACGCGCCGGTTTCTGCCACGCAAGGCGCATACGCCAGCCGCGGCACGGTAATACGCATGCGCCAGCTCAGCACCGAACAGCGTATGCGGCTTCTTGGCACAGCACTGCGCATGCATCGGTAATTGCGTGCAGCCCGCATGCGCCGACTTCATGCAGGCAGAACCCATGCGCCTTCCTGGACATCGCACTGCGCGTGCGTCAGTTTCCTCACCGCAGAGCGCATATGCAATTCTCCTCGCTGCAGCGCGCATGAGGCAAGTCCAGACAGGACGCTTTCGTGCAAAATTCACATCTGCTTTTCCATGCGTGTTGTTGGGCACGGATTGGTTACGCGGGGACATAAGAGACCGCGGAAAAAAGTTGGACGCAGTTCCACATACTGGCCACACGGGGGCAGCGCAGAGAACGGAAAACACTTCGCTGCAGTTCCGCATATCGGCCACACGAGGGCAGCCGAGACAGAGGAAAAAATTTCGTTGCAGTTCCGCATATCGGCCACAAGAGGGCAGCCCAGAGAGCGGAGAACACTTCGTCGCGCTGCACTGCGCATGTGCCAACTTGGTCACTGCACTGCGCGTGCGCCTCCCTTCATGCAGTACGGCGCATGCGCGGCTCTCGCAGTGGCACTGCGCATGCGCTCGTCCAGACGCACGCGCAGTCGATTCCAAGCGCACTGCGCACGCGCCATTCCCGGCGCTGCACTGCGCATGCGTTTTCAGCCGAGTTCGCACTGCGCATGCACCAGTTTCACCTCACTGCGCATGTGCCAACTTATTACGGCGCATGCGCCGCTCTCGCAGCGGCACTGCGCATGCACTCGTCCAGACGCACGCGCAGTCGATTCGCATCCTACTGCGCACGCGCCAATCCCTTTGCAGTTCCAAATATCGGCCACACGAGGGCAGCCCAGACAGCGGAAAAAATTTCGTTGCAGTTCCGCATATCGACCACACGAGGGCAGAGCAGAGACAGCGGAAAAAACTTCGTTGCAGTTCCCAACACTGGCCACACGAGGGCAGCCCAGAGAGCGGAGAACACTTCGTTGCTGTTCATCACATCGGCCACACGGGGGCAGTGCAGAGAGCAGAAAAAAACTTGGTTGCAGTTCCGCATATCGGCCACACGGCGGCAGCAGAGACCGCGGAGAACACTTCTTTGCAGTTCCACATATCGGCCACACAGGGGCAGTGCAGACACAGCGGAAAAAACTTCGTTGCAGTTCCGCATACTGGCCACACGGGGGCAGCGCAGAGAGCGGAGAACACTTCGTTGCAGTTCCGCTTATTGGCCACACGAGGGCAGCACGGACCTCGAAATGAAATTCCAATGCGTGAAAACACAGAAAAGAAATTGGGGGGAAGGGAGACGACGAAGAAAACGAGGAAAACTTGGACAAAGCCAGCAAACTTGCGCTCAGTGCTTATGAATATCTGTCTGTAAATAATAATAAATAATAAATAATCACTGGAAAATTGATGTTGTCATGCTTTTTATTCTATTTTTTTTTTTCATCCAGCATCATCAGAGGTGATGAAAAACCCGGTGTCAATCTGAAAGATGCGTGCAGCAAAGCCAAGCATTTGCTTTTGGCACCGAATCCCAAACCCCACAGAAACAGGGAGGCTGCAGCGAGCGTCCTTCCTGCAGCCACTGCCCTCCTCGAGTCAGAGATCGCTGACGTACTGCAGTCCCCCATTTCTGCTGTGGCACGACGCGGGATTGCTGAAGTCGCTGCAGATGGAGAGAAAACACAGATCATCTCCAGAAAGCACTCCCTGAACAACTTGCCGACGGGCCTGGGGCACCAGCCCCATTCTGGGGGCTCCAGGGGCACCATCACCCCACTGCGCACGGCCATCAACTCGTCCCAGGACTCCACGCGCCCCATGGGCAGCCACCAATGCGCGGAACTGCCGCCGCCTGCCGCCAAGTCCTGCCAGCCGCACAACTGCCTCATGCGCCCAGAAATGCGGAAGTGCCGATCTAACCGCTCTGCGCAGCTCATCCGCCGCTCTCTATGGTGATTAGTCCTCCGGCTAACAGCGAATATACGCCCGTCACCTTCAAAACAGCAGCTGTCTCGAAAAACCACTACGGCTATGGGCAAGCAGCCGATTCCGGACTGCCGGCTCAGCGATATATTCTCCCCCGCTAGTCCGGGGTGCCCCTCGTCTATTTCCGCCGTTTGATGCCCGAGCCCACCCGGGAACGGAAACGGACCGGTTCGGCTCACAGCTGCCCCTCAGCGCCTCGTGGCATCCAACTCGCTCGCCTCCCGGTGAACCAGCAAACGTCCCCTTCCAACCCTAGCCCTGCACCGTCCCCCAGCCGTTTAAAAGCCCCCGCAGCAGCAGTGCAACGCTGCTCGGAGCGACTCGGAGCGGCTCGGAACTTCTCCGAGGGGCTCGGAGCTGCTCGGGGGGGCTCGGAGCTCCTCGGAGCGGCTTGCAGCTCCTCGGAGGGGCTCGGAGCGGCTCGGTGGGGCTCGGAGCTGTTCGGAAGGACTCGGAGGGGTTCGGAGCGGCACGAAAGCGGCTCGGAGCGAGCGGCTCGGAGCTGCTCGGAAGGGCTCGGAGCTGCTTGGAAGGACTCGGAGCGGCTCGGCACGGCACGAAAGAGGTGCGGAGCTTCTCCGAGGGGCTCGCAGCGGCTCAGAGGGTCTCAGAGTGGCTCGGAGCGGCTTGCAGCTCCTCGGAGGGGCTCGGAACGACTCGGAAGGGCTCGGAGCGACTCGCTGCGGCTCAGAGCGGCTCGCAGCGGCTCGGAACTTCTCCTAGGGGCTTGAAGCTCCTCAGAGGGGCTCGGAATGACTTGGAGGAGCTCGAACCTGCTTGGAAGGACTCGGAGCGGCACAGAAGCGGCTCGGAGCTGCTCGGAAGGGCTCGGAGCTGCTTGGAGGGGCTCGGAGCTGCTTGGAAGGACTCGGAGCCGCACGAAAGCGGCGCGGAGCTTCTCCGAGGGGCTCGGAGTGGCTCGGTGGGGCTCGGAGCTCTTCGGAAGGGCTAAGAACGACTCGCAGCGGCTCAGAGCTGCTCGGAAGGACTCGGAGCGGCGCAAAAGCGGCTCGGAGCGGCACGAAAGCGGCTCGGAGCTGCTCGGTTAGGCTCAGAGCTCCTCGGAGGGGCTCGGAACGACTCGCAGCGGCTCGGAGCTGCCCGGAAGGACTCGGAGCAGCTCGCAGCAGCGCGAAAGCTGCTCGGAGCAGCTCGGAGCTCCTCGGAGGGGCTCGGAACGACTCGCAGCGGCTCGGAGCTGCCCGGAAGGACTCGGAGCAGCTCGCAGCAGCGCGAAAGCTGCTCGGAGCAGCTCGGAGCTCCTCGGAGGGGCTCGGAGCGGCTTGCAGCTCCTCGGAGGGGCTCGGAACCACACGGAAAGGCTCGGAGCTGCTCGGAAGGACTCGGAGTGGCTCGGAGCAGCGCGAAAGCTGCTCAGAGCGGCTCGGAGCTCCTCGGAGGGGCTCGCAGCGGCTCGGACGGGCTCGGAGCTGCTCGGAGGGGCTCGGAGCGGCTTGCAACTCCTCGGAGGGGCTCGTAACGACTCGGAAAGGCTCGGAGCAGCTCAGAAGTGCTCGGAGCGACTCGCAGCGGCTCACTGCGGCTCGGAGATTCTCGATCGCGTTACCGGTGTGCAGCAGCACCGACACGAGCATGTCTCGGGAAAGCAATACATTTGAGCAAATCCGGGCTCTGTAACGCGCTATATATACGCGCCGGTTTCTGCCACGCAAGGCGCATACACCAGCCGCGGCACGGTAATACGCATGCGCCAGCTCAGCACCGAACAGCGTATGCGGCTTCTTGGCACAGCACTGTGCATGCATCGGTTACTGCGTGTAGCCCGCATGCGCCGACTTCATGCAGGCAGAACCCATGCGCCTTCCTGGACATCGCACTGCGCGTGCGTCAGTTTCCTCACCGCAGAGCGCATATGCAATTCTCCTCACCGCAGCGCGCATGCAGAAAGTCCAGACAGGACTCTTTCGTGCAAAATTCACATCTGCTTTTACATGCTCGTTGTTGGGCACCGATTGGTTACACGGGGTCACCAGAGACCGCGGAAAAAAAGTTGGATGCAGTTCTGCATGTTGGCCACACGGGGGCAGCAAGAACTGCGAAAAAAACTTCTTTGCAGTTCCGCATATTGGCCACACGAGGGCAGCACAGAGAGCGGAAAACACTTCAGTGCAGTTCCGCATATTGGCCACACGAGGGCAGCACAGACAGCAAAAAAACCTTCGTTGCAGTTCCGCATATCGGCCACACGAGGGCAGCACAGACAGCAAAAAAAACCTTCGTTGCAGTTCCGCAAATCGGCCACACGAGGGCAGCACAGAGAGCGGAAAAAAATTCCCTGGGCTCCCAGGCGGTTCTGGAATATCTCCAGACAAGGAGAAGACACAGCCTCCCTGGGCAGCCTGTTCCAGAGCTGCGCCATCCTCACCGCGAAGAACTCCCTTCTCGTCCACGGGCGGAACTTCCCGTGCTCCACTTTACAGCTATTTCCCCTTGCTTGGGGCCGCGCAGGGCTCCTCTCCCTGTCCCGCACAGCTCTCCCGCACACCTCCGGCGGAGCTGCCCTCAGCACTCGCTCCCGTCGCTCTGCGGCTTCCGCCTCGCTGCTGCCCGGACAGCAACGTCTACCACTGAGGTCTTCCGCGCCTCCAACAGCCGGCCCCCAACGCCCGCTCCCCCACACGGCGGCTCAGCCAATCACAGCCGGCGGAGCAACCGCAGAACAAGGAACCCCCTGGGGAGGGAGCAGCGCTACCGCTGACCACTGAGAGACTGGGGGGGCGGGATAGCGCTGCCGCTGACGAATAAGAGGCAGGCGGGGGCGGGACAGCATTGCTGCTGACCAATGAGAGGCCAGGTCTGAATGAGCTCGTCCTGCCGCAGCGTAATGGTAACAGGGCTGCAGATGATCTGTGCAGGCAGCTTGGAGGTTGGGAGCCAGAACGGACGCGGCAGGAGGAGAGAGGTGTTAGGGAGCAGCCAAGGCATCACAGTGCATCAAAAAGCCCTGAAAGGCATCACAAAGCCACCCCCAGGAAGCAGGGGGTTATCACGAGCAGCATCCAGGATGCTAGAGATTATTTGCTACTGTACCAAACGGGAGCTGCAGCCATCCCGAAGCCAGACAAAACGGGAACAAACCTGGAGCTCTGCTTCATGCACCCCCCAGCCTCAGCGTTGCAAGCTGAGGTGCCTTGCTGTTTGTTGCATTCATCCCAGTCCCCGGGAATGAAGACTCCTCAGGCAGTCAAGGCGTTGAGTGAGCAAAGTGTGCTTTTATTATTAAAGGAAAAGACAGGAGGGCATGAGAGGTCCAGGTAAAGATGGGAATCGTCCTCTCTCAGGTGGAAAGCTCACGGAGAGAGTGGCTCAGAACTCTCAGTGCTGCTGCCCAGTGCTTGGGAATGGAGGCCTGAATCTAAGTCCTCCTCCAAGAGGCTCAGCTTCTCCTCGTTGGTGCTGACCTGCTCCTGCACAGAGGTGCTGCTGTCGGGGCACTCGGACTGTGCTTGGGCTGGGCTGCACTGCAGAGGCGCCGGGTCACAGTCCAGGCTGGTGCCTGTGGTGTCTGGCAGGCTCAGGTCAGCATCTTCAGCAGAGCGGGGAGAAATGAGGGCTTCAACTTGGATGAGCTCCCTCTCTCCATCACTGTTGTTATGTGCAAGGCTGTCACGTGATCCGCAGCCATTTGTGCTTCCCAAGAGCTCTCCATTGCTGGAAGCACACAGCCCAGCTTCGCTACTTGCTCTGGCACATCTGGGTTGACAAGAGCTCAAATCACCTATAAAAGAATGAACAGGGGTTGGTGTCCAACTCTCACAAGCTGAATTACAAAAGTGGTTCTTGATCAGGGGAGAACTGAAGGTGTCAGGTATGGGCTGGAACGCTAGAAGGAGATACAAGCCCACTGACAGCAAGAATTCTACGTTGCTGAAAAGCATGGTGTTGAAAGCAGGATTTGCACCCTTACCTGCCAGCACTACAATGTCTGTCTCTGAGGGCTCCCTGGGACGGTGCTGCGGTTGGTGTTCGGCCACGGAGGATGGTTTTCCCAGGCTGAAGCAGGAACAGCAACAGCCAGCTGGTGATTCCTTTATCTTGCTGGCTGGACTTGGTCTGGAGAGAGGAAACAGGGAATGGTGTGAGTTGTGCATGGAACTCCAAAAGCATCTCTGACTCTGACAGCTCATCAGCCCCATCTCACTGCCATGTCCAGTTTCTTGTGCCAACAGGTCTGACCAACAACTCTGCTTTGAGGAGAACCGGAATTGGATTCAGGCACGTGGCCCTGAAGTCGGAAAACCCCAATGTTTCCAGGTACAGGAAGTCCTCTTTACCTTTCAGATGGAAAGTCAATGATCGTATGGAATTTCCCCCGTACAGCTGTGGGGCCTTCTTCCACCTCTATGTCACTGCTCTCTGTCACAACGACAGGAGAGCTGCTGTGGCCTCGCCTCCGTGCCTGCGCCTCATCCAGGCTGAGCAGCTCTGTGGCAGCAGAAGACGCCCGCACAGACTGGGGCCCTGAGAGAGAACTGTGCCCTGGAAGGGAAAACCACAGGTGAGAGCCAGGATCAGAAAGCAGCAGCACAGCCATCGCAGGTCCAGGAGGTGCTGTGTTTCTCTCAGATTTGCTTATCCGAGCTGCTGCAAGAAGAGCAGCTCAAAACAACCATGTGCTCAGAGGTGTGTCTATGGCAAAGGATGCAGTCATAATTAGGAGCAGCTCACTGTGTGGAAACAGGCAAGCAAAAACCCTAGAAAAGGGGGGCAGAGAACTGAGAAAGCTTCGCTGTCACACTTTCACCAAGCTTCATCTGCTTGCAAAACATCATAATGACAGTGACAGTTTTCTCCTTGTCACGTTTGGGCTTGCACATTCTCAGCATCCAGCAACAGGGTGCCAGATTCTAACCTAAGCCCAGACATCTGCTGTCCCCTCGGCAGGAAAAGTGTATTTCAGAGGACTTGGAGAAGGCCTGCATTTGATCCAGGTGTCTGACCAAGATAAAGCTAATGGAAGAAGACACTCACCTGCTCCAGCTGCGATGTCAGGTCCAGATGTGGAGCAGAAGAGGACGTCTGTGTGGTCGATGATGAATTCCACCACAGCCGATTGCATCTGCAGTTCCGTGCAGGCAGCTCTCCCGCTGGCGCAGGCAGACTCGCTCTGCTGTGATCTGTAGAAAAGGCAGGTTTTAGAAGTCATTCAGCCAAGATCGCTTCCCGGGTCTGAATTACTGCAGCCCAAAGCTGTCAAACTGGGCTCCGGAGACTTCCGCAGTGGGCAATCAGTGATGCCACTGAAGAAGTTCTCCTGGCTGATCAAGGACACACCAGTCCCATCTAAACAAGAGAGCAGCAATGCTCA